ATAATTCAAATTATGAGAAACCCACATGCATTATCTTGCATTTATTATAATTAAAAACTACCTGCCATTTATTTGCCCAACTCACTAAATGATCTAAGTCCTTTCATAAATCAGCAGCATCCTCTTCACAGGTAGCAACACCCAAGACCTTAATATCATCTGCAAATTTAAGCAATTTATTGACTGTCCCTTCATATATGTCACTGATATAAATCAAAAAGAGCAAAAGTCCTAAGACTGAGCCCTGAGGTACCCCATTTGTGAGATAAATCCAGTTTGACTGAACTCCATTTGTAACAACCCTCTGCTTTCTTCCATCCAGCCACTCTTCTCTCCAATTTGCTAACTTATCCCCAGTGGCACAGTGGTATGTCTGCGGACTTACAATGCTAGAAACCAGGTTTCGATACCTGTGGTGGGCAGATCACAGATGGCCCATTGTGTAGCTTTGTGCATAACTACAAACAAATAAACTTATCCCCCACACCTATAGAGCTAATTTTTTTACAAACCTTTTATGTGGCACCTTGTCAAATGCTTTCTGAAAATCCAGATACACCAAATCTACACCCTTACCCTCATCTACATAAGCAGTAACCTTTTCAAAGAATTGTTACGTCTCCGTTTGTTAAATTGTTTTTCCGTAACTTCGTTCCGATGAAACTTTAGCGACACAAGTCCTTACTTAATAAAACTGGTTTATTCTTTCTGAATACAACTTTACGATACACTTATTTTCAACAGTCGCGCTAAAACAAACGCTATAACAACAATACGTCTCTCTCTGACTGCAGATCAATTACCCACTGTCTACACACATTACATTCTTCTCCCGTCACGTTGTCACCCTCTTTTATATACCACACTACCCTATATCTAGTAAATACTAGAGCATTCGCCAAAGTAAAGGATAGTTCTAGAAAGTAGAGGGCGTGAGAATCACATGATCTCGATGACACAACTGAATGTTAAAAGATTTGTAAGGCAAGAGTTTTCCTTAGTGAAACCATGTTGACTATCCAATAAAATTCTAAACGTTATTAAATGACTTTGCAAAGCATCTCTTAGCATACTTTCCCACAACTGATGTAAGACTAATAGGTCTATAATTACTGGGACAATTTTATCACTTCTCTTGAAAAGAGGAGTTACATTGGCTAACTTCCAATCCTCTGGTACCTGCTCACTATTCAAGGACTGACAAAAAATAGTAGTAAGTGGCTCACATATCCAAATTATTTCAAATTACAAGTATTCCATTTAATATAGATATTTCTCAAACACAAACACACAATTTAAGCGGAGTTGGAAAATTAATACT